CCAAGAAGGTGTAAAGCACAAGAGGCCCATTTACAGTCATTAAGTTTAATTTTGAACAACGTACAAGTTGACTAATGGCCTGGGGGGAAAGGCTGGTGAAATATATTAAAACAAAACCCTTTCTGACATTACACATTTAGATTTCACAAGCAACATCAAAGATAGTCAATTAAAATAGCTGCTACCCTTCAGCCTTTTTCTATGTGAGAAAACTGACTTGCAGGCTTTAAAGGTGATACTTTCACTCCTCCTTCACTCTATTTCCATTGAGCTCAGAGAGGTTTCGTGTGAATTACATTGTGACCGTGAGACCTGTTTGTAATTTTTTTTGACTCTGACACAAGTAGTGCAGCTTTGTCTGAAATTGTCGCTTACTCTGAAAACGCCTTCAGCAACATTTCCCCACTGTGAATCTAGTCTACGTTGATTTCAGGGAAAAATGTTATGTTTCTACATTTCTTTGTCTCTCAGTTGCTCATACCTGGTCAGTGAGAAAGGAAGGTTTGTACGACCCATCTGAGTTGGTATTGCCGCTTCCTCTCAGAGACTTCATATGAGACACGGCCATTCGCAGGATGGTGAGTTTGTCTGGTTTCCGTGCTAGTGCACTGCAGGTGGGCACCATGTCTGACAATTCTGTGATGTAAGCGGTCATCTTGTTCCGTCTCCGCCTCTCAATCTCACTATGGTTCTCCCTGAAGCGAGGAGACGAGGGAGGGAGGCAGAGGTAGAGAGGATAGGCGGGATTGAGGTGGGGGAAACAGACGGGCAGGTGGAAGACATGGAGTAGAGTTTAGAGTTAATGCTGCAATGCAAGTGCGCCAACTGGGAAGAAACGGTGGGAATGAGAGAAGGTGAGAGAAATAATGGGCGCACAAAACTATAAATCAATGATCGATAAAAATGATAGTGAGAAAGCAAGAGAGTCTGGTCTTTCAAGCCCAGTCGGTGTGACAACAGAGAGCAAGTGCAAGAAGAGAAAGACCCCTCAGAGGTCCTGACAGGGGGGAGAGAGAAGAGACAGAGAGGACAGTTGCTCAAGAGGAAGAGATTACCAAAGTGAATAAAGTCCCTGGGTCACACTCAGCATAGCAGTTAGTGACACATATCAGTGGTGGGGTTGAGAGAGACAACCAGCTACTTTGGGCAGAGAAGCATAACATTCTGACAGGCACCAAAACAGACGCATAGAGCGGCGGCATATACCGGTAATTTTGTGCTATCATAATGACAATGTGCTGGGGTCCCAGCAGGACAGGACAGATTTTGATCAGCATTCAATATAGATATGCAAACAAGCAGGAGAGGAAGCCTCCCAGAGTGGCACAGGCCATACCTGGCTTGTTTTTCCTTATCTCCAAAACTCTGATCTTCTTCCAAAAACCTGGAAATGAAACCAACCTACTAAAACACAGGCCCAAAAATCACTACTAAAATAAAAAGAGGCGTGAACTTGAAGACAAAAAAACTTGGAAAGGAGAGGGAAGCAGCATGGGGGCTTCTCTACACCCCCTCCACACACGCATCTAATTCTTCTGACTCATCCTCCTACCTGGCAAAGCGCTCTTTGTCATTGGAGCCTCCTGTATCATCGTCACACCTTAGAAAAAAGAGAAAATGACACTTGTTATTACAGAAAATACCAACACATGATACACCACCTCATTTAGCTTTACACTAAAATAAACTGTGAGACAAATGTACCTGAACAACTTGCTCCCTTCGTCATCATCAAAGTCTTGTCTATAATAAGGAGAAACAGAAGTTTCATTTAAATATTCTCACAGCTACATTGACCATAAGTGTCAAAAACAAAACTAAACCAGTCAGCAAATTACACAAGACTCAGCACAAAAGTTGCCCCTAAAACACACACAGACACTTACGCAGCTCTTCTTTTGTTTGTCCCTTTTGGTACAACAGCCCCACCACTTCCTTGGGTACCACTTGCCCCCATACCCAGATTTGGGTCTGGTAAGTCTATTAATAACACAGAGGCACAGAGAGACGAAATGTAGCATGGATGACAGGTGATTTCCTATTGAGCTTGGAGCACTGAAAAAGAAACTAAGCCACTAATTGAAGCTTTGAACGCCACACATAAAGAACAAATTAGCATTAAAGCACATTACTGACATTTGTTGTTTGTTTTATTTCACAACTTGTGAATTTAACATAAATTATCTCCACATCATTTATTCTTGATTCGTGATTGCAGACTGTAAAGAGCTAAGACCACCTCGACACAAAGCTAACGTTAAAAGCTACACATAGCATTCAGATATCAATTTTGTTAGCCACATCAACGTACCTAAAAACAGAGAAGCACAAACCGAGCTAGCAAACCACAGCTAGGTTGTCGGCTAACTTAGATTTGGTTTCTCACTTTACCTCAGTCAGCCACGCAAAAAATATCACAACAGGGCTATTTTCACAGCCCACTGGTCGCTAATCTAGCTGGCTAGCATGTTAGCAAGACACTTCTGCAATAACCAGATAGCCTTGCTGTGGCATTAGCTTTGCTACTAAGCTAACTTAGCCGAGGCTGTCACGCTATCTTTGGGAAAGTGTCCGCTTTAGCTATGCATGACAAAACAACCAGAACCACAACAGCTGCACGGTTTTACGTGACTTAAAATGTCGCTGTGACTTGTACTGCACTTTACCTGGATTAGAAGAGGACATGTCCGTCTGGAATAACATAAACAAACAACTTCGGCTGCGGAGAAAAAAAATCCTCAAAACCCCCGCCCCTCCCCCTAGCTAGCAGGCTAGCGGCTAACAAGTGCCTCCGATCTCTTCACGTATGCGCCTTTATTTTGTGCTATAAACGCGCAAATCCATGACTATAACTGCGCCAGAGTGACCCGAGAGGGTTTAAAACACAGGCAAAAATAACGAGTTGACTCCTCCAGTGGCCGCTTTATTCCTGTTTTCTCACGGTTTAAACCCCCTTTCTGTTCAAGATGGTGTTTGAGGGTAGCCGAGCGGAGCACAGTCTGTCTACAGTGTTTTCCTTTCCTCTGTCTCTATTGGTTATCACAGCAGCCAGATACACGTGACGCGCAATGTTGGGAAATCCATGTTTGGCTCCGCCCCGCTGACGTGCCCTGTTTTATTCCGTATGTCATGACATATAGAAATGGGTTTGTAAATTATATATATAATTTAAAAGGTCTGGATGCGTCCTCATAAATACTTAATTGTGTTAAGGTTAAGAGGGTGACCTTAAAAAAATACAATATAAAAAAAAGCTGCTTTTTCTGTGATGAACATTCAGAAGCAGTTTGTGACTAATTTTATTTTATTTTTAAAGACTTCAAATTATTACAGGAAAATCTGGTGTAGACTAGGATGACTAACCATGCTCAAGGACCAATTTGGGGAATTAATTTTCAATTATTATCACTATTTATTTATTCAAATTTATTCTTCTTTTTTGGGGGGTTATTTATTCAAATTAATTTCTTATTTTTTATTGTTTTTTTTGGCTGTACCCCTTCTTGTATGGATCTCTAAAGCCCTGTTTGTATTGTATTTTTATTTTTGTTTGTCAAGATTGAATGTCTCATTTGATGTGTAGAACCGTCATGTACCAACCTAACCAAAATTAAAAAAAAAAAAAAAAATTAAACTATAAAAAAAAGAGGAAAATGTGGTGTATGGTTCCTTCAAATATATTTTTTAAAAAAAACCAAATTTAAGAAGATGTAGGCTTTTTTATTCATAAATGTAAATGTATCACAAAAAGTAGGCTATATTGTTTTTGTTTTTTGTAAAGCAATAGGCCTATGTGAAACTATTTTCTAATTAAGTTAACAAAAAGACAATCAAGACACTTAATATCTGTATGTCTTTTAATATTTGTTGTCTATTGTGATAGACCCCTGGTTCTTTTGTTATTGTATATTTTGTATTGCATTATTTTTGCTTTATGCCAACATGTACATCTACTCTGTATTATAATCTTTTAATTAATTTTTTTTTTAAGTTATTTAAGTCAGCTTTCCTTCAGTGGTGTTGGAAAATCACCAAAATGAATTAACTGTTATTATTTATTTAATCTTATTTTAACATTGTGATTTCACGATTCTGATATGATTGCAGATGTGCTGTTAACCCATAGTTTCTGAATGTTTTTCTCTAAAGCACTGGTTCCCAACTGGTCCAGCCACGGGATCCAGATTTCTCCTTTGTCACTAGTTCAAGGTCCACACAGTTAAATATATCCAGCGTCATACTTGTGTTTGACCATGTCATAGAGCTGGTTTGCTGTCTCTGACAAGTAGCTGTCCATTGTCTCACTCATTCTATAGCAAGAAACAACACTTCAAATTAAAGTGCGACCCACTTTTGGACCTACCAGTTGGGAACTACTGCTCTAAAGGATGGTCTGTAAACATTTCATGTTTTAAAAGGAGCTTTAAGTAAAATATCTTTATATACCTGGTGGCCCAAACCACCGGCACCTCTACAAATAGGAAATGTTTTGTTAAATAATATCTGACTATATGATAACTAACTACTAACTTCTTGGTCATTTTATTTTCTCAGTTACTGTATATGATTGCTGTTTTTATTAGTTTTACTATTATTTTTTTCAGCTGTATCAAATGTTTTACCGGCTACATAGATTAAGTGTACATATTGTTTTTTGTTTCTTTTGCTTTGGATTTTTAATTAAAGATTTGTTTTATATTATGATGTAATGTTAACTTGTACAGATCCCAGGAAGAGCATTAGTAATAGATTAAAAGTTTGCCTATCGTTGAGTTATGATAGTGGTGGAAAGTAACCAAGTACATTTACTCAAGTACTGTACTTTAAGGTTTACCTGAGTATTTCTATTCTGCACTACTTTACACTTCTTTTCTACCATATTTCAGAGGAAGATGTGCCGAAGGGCTGTATCAAATCATATTTATTGTTCTATTGTTATATTTACTGGAGGATTTACTGTGTGGGATGTTTGCAGACATGATAAACAAATACATAAAAGGTGCTTTCATTGTGATTCATGATCTTTGCTTTTATTATTAATAACAATACTTAGGCATCATTAAACAAACAAACAAAAAATACAAAATAAGAAAAAAAAATAGCACTGTAATTAGGACACAGCTGTTTCTTCCGTATCACCGGGGAAGAGAGGTTGCTGGTTGGTCTGGGTTAGTAAAAAAGAACATGATGGTGGTATGAGGGTGAGTTTGAAAGGAAGATAATTATAAAGAAAAGGAGGAGCGGGTGATGGATGAGACGGTGGAGGGAGGACGTACTAGTCTTGGAGTTGGATCTGTGACGTGAGGTGGAGACAGGAAAGAAAAGGAGCGCACATGAAGACAGGAGAGAGAGAGCTTCCCATACATTACAGATAAGGCACTTGACATACAAACAGCTTTAAAGCATGACGACAAAACTGCAACACTCATTTCTCAAATTCCTCATAAGTCACTGAACCGCCAAACGCTGATTCCAACATCTTTTACCTCCCGAACAAATCAAATAACACCTGTAAAAACTTGTTTCATACACACAATCATACCTAAAATCATTCACTTAGATCAACACTTAAAACTAACCCAAGTTAACAAACATAACCCAGGCTACAAGGCAGTGAATTGAAGAACTCTGGCCTGTGTTTGTAAAATCTGGAAATGGTTAATCTGACCTATTCCATTCGATTTAGTACAACTCCAACAAAGCAGCCCACCTTCACAATGATTTGAGTTGTGAGTGTTCAGTGGGTGGCAGCATCGGTGTGATTCAAGGCTCGACTGGATCAAACAGCTTCAGCCAAACCAGAGAGGAGAAACATTCAGCTTCATCACAGCTAGCAGGAAGCTGTGAGTTATATTGCAGTGTTTGTGCTCAGCACTCGTTTCTGGGTATTTCTGACTAATCAAACAGCACAGAACTGAAAAGGATCACCGTTACTGGTCAGACATCTCTTTAGGAAGGAGTTGTATATAATGAGCTATGCTGGATTGAGAGCTGAACAGAAATTAAAACATATTCGTCTATTAAATTGACACCAAATTTACTCATTTAAACCTCACAAGGCAGACTAAGGCTCTGTTTACACCTGGTATTAACATGCATGCTGGGTGACTGGATTACAAGTGGACAGCTCTAAGCGCAGGTGTGAGTGCACCAAATGTGTCCTCTATGCGTCTTGAGATCTGATCGTTCAGGCCACACTGGGAGGTGGATTGGTCTGCATGTGGCCACATTGTTTCAGCAGTGTGTACGCTAACGGTCCTTGGTTACATTTAAGGACCACGTACTCAGCTGATGTGGGGGGGCTTTTCACCTTTATGAGATAGGACAGTCTAAGCGTGAAAGCTGGAGAGAGACGGGCACCCCCGTACTTGCTTATCTGACACCCTGCGGATTAGAAAACTGTTTTTGGCACAGTTGCACACATGCAGAGCTGAGGGAACGTCTTTGGAGGCCCTCTCCTCCCAGCGAACGGACAGTTCAACATCTGTTAGCACGAGCTAACACAGCAGCAGCATCACCTGATAAATGTTCCCAATAAACTCCCACTGACGATGAAACATCTCGACTGTCATTAAACCCCTTTAATAACCATGATTTAATGTTAGCCCTGTGATGCTAACAGTTAGCCCTGTCACTGTGGACTCTTACCAACTGCTTCCTAACCTGCAGCAGCAGTCTCTTGTCAATAAAGCCGACTGAATTGAACTGAGAGAGAAAGAAAACCATTTTTCCACAAAATTAGTGAGTGTATGTGGTTTTTTAAATGTGGGAAAACCCATTAAAAATCGGCGACAGAGTGCCTTCCCACCGCCAGTAGACCGTGAACACGTCCCTGCAGTAGACCAGTATGCCTTTTTACTATTTTTCATTCCATGTCACGGACGAGACGAAGACATGCCAGTGAAAATGTTAGTGGTTCCTTCTTTTTTGTATCTATTACTTATTTAGTCTGACTAAATTTTGAATGATGTTTGAGCAGTGCTTGTACCGAGACGTACAGCATTTTGTGGCAGCCTGTAATTGCATTGCGCCAACAAAGGGGCCAAAATTAGCGTGTCCACCCGGGTGTCTTACTTCCATCACTGCTGATTGGAGACGATCAGAGCTGGAGCCGATAAATATCCGTGACTGCTGCAGAGTCATTTGTCATGGGAGCGAATGGCAAATGTAATCTTTCTGATTAAAGACAAAAGCCAGATGTTGGTGGGTATTAGTGGGTTTTTTGTCCAGAGGGAAAGGAGGGGATGAGTGAATCAATACGCTGCAGCAGCCCTATGATGACATAAGATTTTACTCATTTTAAATGGTAAAGGCTTTAAGGCTGGGTATAGCGTGATGAACCTCCTGCCAGTTAAAAACAACAAAGTATTTGGTCTTTGCAAACAGAAATGATTCACATGTTTGTTTATATGTAGATCAGGGAAGTAGGAAGTGGTTACACAAGACACATGTGCAGACGCATTCATAATTCCAGGTGTAAACAGACAGACAGAGCTGTCCACTTGTGATTGGATCACCCAAGACGCATGACAATACCAGGTGTAAACAGACTCTAATTTAAAAATGGCACAGGGCGCATTGGAGAGCAGAGGCACATGGCCCCACTGCAGGTTATTACAGTATTTAAGAGACACTGTATGTTTGTGCAAAGACGTTGCAATAGCTGAACACTTACGTAATTGCATAGACAGAAAATCAGAGAAATAAATGCCCCGTTGTCTCACTTTTGTAAAACTCACTTTCACTCGCTTTTGTTCATTTAATAGAAAACAAAAAAGGTGCAACGACATAAAGCAACACAAGATAAAAGCAGAAAGCTTTTTTAAAAATGGCATTTTAACAGCCATCAGCTGGCTCCAAGGCACACAGAACAAGGAAAGCTAAAGTAGAAGCAGCATCACCGCCCTCCTCCGTCCATTTTCTCCCCTGTCTCTTTGAAATTTTGGGACTGACATCACACAGACAATGATAGATTTTTCTCTAATGACAAAGCAAAAACGCCGTGCCACTTAACGTAGTGTTTCTCATCTGCTGGATCTCTGTGCCCTCTAAAAGTACAGATGAACGTGTGTGAGTGTGTGTTTTTTTTTGTGTTGTGCAAAAGTAACAGTGTCAAATTTCCTCAGGATACCTGCTGTTCTTAGTTTCAAGGGAATGACTTGCCCCCTCCCTGACCCACAATCCCTTCTTCTTTCTCTCTCTTTTCATCCCTCCCTGCTGCTCCCCTGCCGAGGGATATGAGTCCTTCTCGCATTCTTTCGTCCTGACACTTGTTTGCTTTCACTCTGTCTTGCTGTGGTTGTTGTTGTGGACTGTGTAACCGTTCTGCACCGGTCCATTTTTCTTCATGTCCTTTTTACCCTCCTCTTCTTCCTCGTCGTCTGAATCATCTGTTTCGTCTTTGTCGCTCCTTTCATCGTCCACTTTTTCCTGGAAAAAAAAAGAAACGCGCCATTAATCAATGCTCAAACTGTACTGGAGCTCTGGTCAGTGTCAGAACAAACTCAAACCATCCAGCTGAATGCGTGAAAAACGTGTGTGTGCATTTGGTTGTGCACAACAGATCTGTGACATGAAAAATGATGGATTGCAGCAATTTAGTCAGCTTAGATTAGACCTTTTACAAACAAATCAAGAAGAGTACGCATTAAGTTAAACAGACTGACAGGTAACTCTCTGTATGGACAGTTTTGATGATTGTCATCAATGCATTTTCAGGACGCATGACAGGAAATCAAATTCCAGTGACTGACAAGTTTATGCGGCATTTTAATGCTCCTGATGTATCTGTTTATGTTCTTTGGTGTCACAAAGCAGTCACTGATTATGAGCATTATTCCTAGAATTATGAGTAATGACTTGCACGTAGAGACAAGATGAAACGGAGGCGTCCTGTACAGTCGTGATTCAGGGCTTATTACTGTGGGATCACTGTCACACACTTTTTAATGGACTCAACTGAAAAAATACATGGACTCAGATAGGAGCAAAGCAGTTTTTAAATGAGGGGAAATACCCACGCTGATGTGCATACAGGTTACCATGGATACCAAGTGATTGGCATTAGGCCCCGATCATACAGAAAGCACTTTGCAGGTTTCAAAACGCAAGCTGCACTGCAAAAATTGAATGCCACTGGTAAAAAAAAACACTTGCCATGCTTTTTTACCCCACCCCATCACATCCTTAAGATTCCCGTGTAATCAATCTACCCTTTTTTTCACAGTAATTAGTATCTAGTTTCTAAAATGCTGAGGCAGAGGGTACCTGCTGTAGCTCTGGTTGAGGGTGAGAGGCTGTCAGCAACTAGTTTGTTGAGCACAGGGAAACAGAGATCTGTGTGGGTACATGAGACCCTAAAAAAAAAGAGGGTGGATCACTGGGAGAACCACCAGTTGGTCCTCCAACTGGTCCACCACCACCAGGGGCTTTGCCTCAATGATGGCTGTTGCCAGGTGTATTTTAGGATGACTCGGGGGCAGTTTGGTCGGGCCGTATAGCTCTGGGTATCCAGCAACCACTACCACCAGTTTCTCCTCCACTGTTTACCAACTGTAAGCTTGTTGTTGTGACCACCACAGAAGGCCCGCCTCTAAAATCATCCCATTGGACAATGGGAAAAAAGATGATGAAAAAGAGATGACAACTTTTTCACTTTTTCAACAGGAGTTCAGAGCGCTCCAGCAAAAACGACAGGCGCCTAGAGCTCAGAAACACAAGGCACATTGCAACGCAAAAACCGCAAGCAAAAAGCTGAATTCTCATTAAAAACAGTTACAAAAAGCCACCTCCAGCTGCTAAAACACTTTCTGTGTAAACAGGGCCTTAAGCTGTTCTCATGAACTGTTTGTGAGTTTTCCTATGAAAATTAATGCACTAAAATTCCCACATATTTGGGATGATGCAATCACATGACTAAAGTGCTGACGAGAGTAAAGAAGGAAGTGGTCCCATAAGGAGGCAGGTTGGGGTGGTGAATGGCTCACAAAACACGGGACATTCCACCAGGAAACCTCTGAGTGAACTCTGAGTCATTTTAAGGTACATCATCACCATGTCTTTTCCTAAATCTAACCACAGTTCGTTAACTTGCCAAAACCTAAAGATGCCCAACCATGTTTCTTTTCCTAAAGACAACAGGCAGCTCTATGGCCGATATCTCCAACACTGCAACTCACACCTAAAGAAACCAGACTGATAAGAAGCAGTACAGGTAAGCGGAAAAAATTGTATTTTTGATTTTGGGGTGAACTGTCCCTTTAAACTTACATTTCTTTGAGGATCTTTATTTTAAGTTCAGATTTTTTGACATTTCAAACATTTCAGCTGCAGATTTTCAGTCGGGAGTACATGTACATTTTATTTTGTCTATCCTATTATTTTATTTTATCTCGTTTATATTTATTTACTGTATATTTGTCTTTTAAACACTGCTAAATGGTGAAGATGTAAGCGCTGAAATGTTCATGATTAAATGACTGAATAAACAGTCTTGAACTTTGCATTCGATTTCTTTGTCTACTTACATTGTTGGTGAGGAAGCGGACTGCTATGCGTATGATGAGGACAGCCCAGAAGACATGTAGACACTGAAGAGTCATCAAAAGTCCATTGAAAAAGTAGTAGCCAAAGAAGGGTTCATAGACGGTCACTGGGTAAACCCACGTACAGTAAATAATCCTGCAACAGAGACAGTGAGATCATTTAATCAATGTACAAGTGTGTGTTACAATAACACATTAAAACAATTGTTTAAGTGTGTGTGTGTGTGTGTATGTGTGTGTGTTTGTGTGTGTACCAGAAGGGGAAGATGACCAGTCGAGTGATAATGAAGATTGCAGCAAATACAATGAAGATGTAGTTACAGGCGTTTCGCCACCCAGCATAGTTGAACATCTTTGCAGACTGTCAGAAGGAGAAGAAAGAAAATGTGTTTAATAGTTCAGTTAAAGATTACAGAATACATTTGATTATCATTTTATGTGGCACATGGGAGACGACCATATCTTCATCTAGAGATAAAGATTTAGCCCTTACATGTAGTCATTTATTTATGCATGAAAAGCAGGCTGTGTTTATGTGCAGGAGGCTCACTCTCCCTCACACAAACACAAAGACACCCCAAATAGATCAACCACGCCCACTGGTTTGATATCAATTATTGTCCTGAGATCACATTAATTCAAAATAGAGGAAGAGCCTGCAGTATGCATATCATCTGGAGGTGGTTCAGTTTCAGGACAGCAGATGTGGAACAGACTACTATCCTCTGCAAAATATGTCACAAAATGTTTGCTGCTAAAGGCGGCAGCACCAAGCATCTGTTCCATCAGATAAACGCCACCTGGTGCAGAACACTGCAGTCAAGTACAGAAAAGACGGTCAAACTTGTCCCCACGTTTTGTTTTTTTGCTGAAAACGTATATACAGGGCCTTATGGTAAAAACGTGTAAGGATAGACTGCAAAATAAATGCAGCTTTCTGATGAATGTGCATTCATTAAGTCAGACAGTCGGTCAGTCTGTCAGCAATAAATATATAAAAATAAAACAAAATAAGTAAATATTAAATGCTGATTTAAATGCATGAAAATTTAATGGGAAAAAGCCTGCAAACTGCATTTCAGAGAAAAATTGAATTTGAAGCAGCACTTCACCTGCAAAATGACCTTTTGCATATCAATTACTCGAATTCATGAAGAAAATGCAACAAATTCTCCTTAAGTTGAAGTAAACAGGGAACGCGTTTAACAACAACAAAACTATATCAAAACATCTATTTGCAAACTCTCATAAAACTCATGCAGTATAATCTATGTCCCGTTGTACGCTCGATACTTACCAAACACATGCATTTTTGCTAAAACGTTAAAATTTAAAACATGTCAGTATAAACAGCATGGCAGAGTAATAGGCCTGAGAAAGTGTGTAATTTTAAACTCTGCTCAAGTGGAGCTCATATGTAAGTGCGGGATCAGGCACGCTCAGGGCGCTCTACTCATCGGCAAAATAGTTTTAAATCATAACGTTTTTGCCAAAATACACGTGTTTGGGAAGCATTGAGCACACGACTGGATGAATGAGACTTGATTATACTGCACGAGCTGTGTGAGAATTTGTAAAATATGTGTTTCTAGATAGTTTTGTTGTTGTTAAACATTGTCCATGTTTACTTCAATTCATAATGAATGTTTGCCCATTTTGGATTCTTCGTTCACCGTGGAGACATCTGAGAAAAACAAAGTAGTGTTATGTTGAATTCAAGAATTCAGCATAGCATGGGGTGAGTAACTGACATACAAATGGTCATGTTGCAGGTGATTTTTTTTTTTTAAATTGTGTAAATAATTAGTCAATCTTCACAGTAAGGAATACATCTACAAAAACCAACCAAGTGCCACTCAGTATGAGGACATTCTGATGTGGAATTTTAAAATTAAAGACTTCTAAATTGTAATACACAATCTGTGTTCCCTCTAAAGTCAGATTAGTTTACACTGGTATGATCATACGCATCAAAGGGTTCAATCAAAATGATGTATTAAACATCGTCTGTCAAAAAATAAAATATGTTATTTTGGAGAGACTATAAACATATCTAGATATATATATCATATAACACAGCATAGCCTAAAAATATCAAGATGTTATTCATGTGCCATACTGCCTGGCCCCACTTTGAATAATGAAAATGGTTGGTTTGCCTCTGTTCCACTAAACATGGCCAAAGTGTTTCCTCCACAAGGGGGCAGTGTGTCCTCAGTGTGTTGCCATCAATGTATATAAGTTTGTGAGCACTCACTGAATCACAACTTAACCTCAGTATGGTCGCAGCATGTAAAGAGTTTTATCAGCATTTTTCTTTCTGCTAAGTGCTGTTGTGATGTTGTGGTGTGGTGTGTGCTGATCAAAAAATTTGGAATATATGAATGACATTCACCTCAAGGAGGTAATCGGAGGAGTCGTGGACCAGCATGATTAGAGTTCCAGCTCGGATGTAGTTAACACACCAGGAGAAGCTGATGAGGAGGATGGTCGCCACATGGTGAACGATCTGCTCCTTGAAGTCCTAAAGAAAAGAAGACAGGAGTTACACTGAGAAAGGAACATGTATGAAATATATTTATGTGTCGCATGCTTTTAGTGGGTGTGTTTGTGTTTGTGAGCTGAAAAGCAATCTAGGTTAGAATAATGTGTTGAAGCAACGCACTGTCCCACTTTGGCAGGACTTCCCGCTCTGCACACACACACACACACACACACACACACGTGTAACAACAGTCCAATGTCCAGCCCACAGTCCACGCCAGATGTTTAACAGATCAGATAGTAACAACAGACTTTGTCTTCCTCTTGCGTTCAGGTAACGATGACATCATAGTCATATAAAAGTGCAAAACAAACTACAGTGTGTGTGCATTATATTTGTTTTCCGTTAACAGTCATCTTTTCATTCTGCTCCCTCGTACGTCTTGTTGTTTTATACCACCTGAACTGAGGAGAGATGAATTCACTCACTTTGCGTTTGACGTCAGAGGCCACACTGAAGAGCAGAGAGCCGTAGAAACCCAGCTCAATCATGTAGTACCAATACTGAGATGGAAGGAGAGTCTGAAGGAGAGGAAACACACATCAATGTGAGAAAATCTATACTGGAAACAAGGGCTGCAACTAAACATTATCATCACTATCACTGATTAATGTTATCATTATCTTGATGAATCATGAATTGTTTGGTTTATAAAATGTCACAAAATATCCATTATAAATGTTTAGAGCACAGGTTGACACTTTCAAATAGCTTGTTTGCTTAGGCTTAGAGTCCAAAACCCAAAGATATTTTATTGATCAACAGAAGTTTAGCTTGAAAACTTTTTAAATGATGATTCTTATAAATGCATTAAGCTGTATTGAGAACTCTGTGTTAGGATGGTGTATTATGATTTGTGTATCAGGGTTCCTGCAGTGTTCAACAAGTTGAAATTAAGACTTTTTAATACCACACACAATTTTAATACCCTTGTCACAGTCATACCGGTCAATGAATAACAGGACACAACAATAAGGCCTATAATTAGTTTTTAAGTCCAAGAACTTATTGACATTTATATCACATTTTGTCAGAACTTCCCCGCTGTATGGAGCAATAAGTCCAAGTAATTTAAGTAATCAGTTAACATCAACTGGACTCAGTGGCAGAAAATTGATGGATGGATTAACAAACTGACACTTTCCAGTTAGAGGTCAATGAGCTTCCCAGCTAACGTGGCTGTCAGTAGCAACAGTGTTTGCTTGCTACAGGTCTGATGGTGCTTACTCCATAAAAAAGGATTCAACAGCGCAATCAACTGTTGCACCAGCCTCACTTGGAATTCTAAGATGCGTAACAATCACGTGCAAAAAACATTCAGTAGGCAAGAGAAAATATTCATTGAAGAACACGTTTTAATCTCCATCTGTGTTATTTTCTAGGTTTTTCAAATGGAATCGCCCACTCAGCCGTAAGCAAAAAGCAGTGACCTAGGTTAGAGCAGTGGTTCCCAACTGGTCCAGCCACAGGGTCCAGATTTCTTCTTAGTCATTAGTTCTTGGTCCACACAGTTGAATATATTCGGGGTCATACTTGTGTTTGTCCATGTCGTCAAGCTAGTTTGCTGTCTCTGTCAAGTAGCTGTCTGTTTGTCACTCACTCTACAGCAGGAAATGGCACTTCAAAATAATAGCACTGTGCCGGAAACCCACTGCACCTAAAAATAAAGCGTGTTTTGTACAAACTTGATAAGTTTGTTTTTACTCGCGGCCCATTCAGAATGGACCCGTGATCCACTTTTGGACCGTGACCCACTAGTTGGGAACCACTGGGTTAGAGCACTGATAATAATTATCGTAAGAACTGAAATGAGATTTTATGAATTGTGGTTGCAGGAAGTACTCATCTATAGTCAGTGTATTACCTACAGTAGACGGCAGATGGCACGCAGCCAGTTTAGAGAAGGAGACGGGGGAAGGAAGCTGTTATATCTCTATCTTCAAAGCCACCAGTCCTCTGACGAAAATTGGGATTTAACTTGCAGAACGCAGGAGATGGTGGTCTACCTCTGCCTTGATCTGTGTGATTTTTGGATCCAAACTATCGTGACGTCTGCAGCAGTACATTACTTAGGGATATAGCTGATTTGGAAGATTGATAGCACACAATTCTCAAAGAAGGCTTGGCTCAGTCGTGAAGAGGCACATGAGGCGGGCTGGGGGGGTTTACATGTAGCAATGTCATCATCCAGAAAGCTACGTCAGGTCACGAGGATAAATGTTTTAGTAGTGCTTGGGAAAATTTTGACACTAAAACATGTGCACTTCAAACAAAAATTGGAATGCTTGGACTTTAATACTTATGGGAAGCTAGATGATAGAAAAAGATTCAGTGCTTGTAAGACTTGTCTGCAGAAACCCTTGTGCGTTGAGTGTAAAGAGACACCCAGAGACTTACCAGCACAGGGAAACCTTGCCACATCTCCTTCAGGTCATACAGCCAAGGTTTCTGGAAGGAGAAATGGGATGTGAATGAGACAGCAGAGCTCGGCAGGTGTATTTATATCAACTGACTCAGCATGGCAATGAGTCAACGCTGCCCCTCTGACAGTGGGAGAGGTGAAGTTATCACAGCAAAAAAAGACAGACTACCGATGAACCCGTCACGTTACGATGGCGGGGCAGGTGACAGATGAGCATGTGAACATTAAGAGACGAGAGGAGGAGGAGGAGGAGGAGGAGGAGGAAGGGTCGAGGTTAACATGGCGGTACTCACATCGATGAGGGCGGCCAGGCCAGCAATGAAAGCAAGAAGGTAAAAGGTAAATCTCCAACTGCAAGAGAACACACACACATACAAACACACTTTCTACTCAGTCAATGGGGAAAAGACAATATACACATTTTCAACCAGCAGACACATAAACACATCACATACACACAAACTCTCAGTCACAGTCACAAACACACAAGAGTGCCAAGTTGGAAAGAAATGCTGGGCTGAGTGAACAGCCTGGAAAAATCTGGTGAACTACGCTGAGAATGTCAAATCAGGACACACACACACAGCCAAGCACGTGCTGTCACACAATGAAAGCTGTCTGTCAGAGAGTTTCCTCCCTGTTAATATCCCGTAACAGAGACAGCGAGGGGCCTTTTCCCACTACAGCCTCTCAGTACAGGTGTACAGAGAAGACCCCCCACAGGAGCAGGAAGACAAAAAGACGGACAAAGACAAGCACAGAAAGGTGGACACAGAGAAAGAGGAGACAGTGTGAGTGTGAGGACACAACACCAGTGGGGGAAAGTAAGGGCGAGAAACAGAAAGCCTGTTGTGCGCCCGGCAAACAACAGACTGATTCAGAGGAGAAATGCCGTAACACACACAGCGAAAGACACACCATGACCAGGGAGCGACAAACATGCAGTCACATGCACGTCTGCACATATGTCAGGACATCAGTCTGCTTAAACATCATCATCCACACACACTTATATATACAACAAACACAGACACATACACACACAAGTCTAAACCTTCACAGATTAAAGGGTCACTTCACCAAAATGACAAACACCTTATATTTTAGTTATGCAGATAGTTTTGCTCAGGTTTTGAATTATTCTGCCTCCATCACAACACAATGAAGAAGCCGAATTTCATTTCATTTCACAAAATTCCTCTGCAACAGCATCACCATTAACGTGGATAACACAGGACATACTGCTGACACTTTTTATAGGGCGACAAAAACAATCTCAGCTGATGGAGTTGCGCTGCTGCGTGGAAATGTAGATGTTGGAGGTGTTTCTGAGCACTTTAAGGACTCATGAGACACGTTTAAAGGGGAGATTCACTTTTACTAAAGTCTGTCTTAAAATAAAAGTCAGCACGGGAGCACATGAAGTCATTTCCAAGGAGGGAATTCAAATGGACGGTGAGGACGAGTTGTATCAGACACTAAAATAGTCTTAAAAATGGGGCGGACACACTAAAATCAATGTTGATATTGATATTAATATTGATTTTTGATATTTGATATTTACCTGTGTAAAAAAACATGATGATACAAAAATGAAAGAAAGTAATATTTACAAATAATGAAAAGCACAATGTAAGAGCAGTTGTCAGTGTCTTGTTACTTTGACTTACACATCTGAAAAGCAGTGGAAAGAAGTATAAACTTATTAAATCCCACCTCTTCTCCATAAGTCATCGAGTGAAATGAAACAGACAGCTCCGTCATATAGGTAAACCTGAACCTTAAACGTTTTGAAATATAAAATCGTTATTACCACTGCTAAAAAAGAGAAAAAAACAGAAACTAGAAATACCACCCTGCAGTTTTATGCCTCTGTGCACCAGTCAAGTTTCTCTTACAGTTTACATCCATGTCTGTGAAAACATGGACTCTTCGCACCCATTGTTGCCCCGCAGCACAGAAGATCTATACAATCAGCACAGTTTCAAGGTGGGCATCCAAGATTAGTGTCACTATTTAAGTATCTGACTAAATGTTTTCCTTTCTGTTCCTGAGATATGACATTGAATAATGGCCAGGAAACATTGTGATGTCACAGTGAAGTTGACCTTTGACCTTTTTGGATGTAAAATTTAATCAAGTCATTATTTTATCCCATTAGACATCTGTGTGAAGTTTTGTCATAATTAGCGTATAGATTCTTGAGTTATGGACAGAAACATGGTTTGTGAGGTCACACTGACCTTAACCTTGATTTTTGACCTTCGACCACAAAAATTCTTTTCAGTTAATTCTTCAGTCCAAGTGGACGTTTGTGCCAAATTTAAAGAAATTCCCTCAAAATGTTCTTGACATATCACGCTCACAAGAATGAGACGGACAAGGTCACAGTGGCCTTGAGATTTGACCTATGACCACCAAAAACTAATCTGTCGATTGTTGAGTCCAAGTGGACATTTGTGCCAAATTTAAAGAAATTTTCTCGAGGGGAACTTGAGATATTGTTTTCACAAGGATGGGATGGACATATGTCCGTACAGTGGGCAAAACTGTGAATAGGATTATATAATTTGCTGAAACTAAAATTAAAAAACACATTAAAACAAAAGTCAGGTGTCTGTATGTAATAAATAACACAAAGAGAGGTCTGCATACTGCCTTTAAAGCAGTTTATTAGCACATCCACAGGTGACGTCTCAAGCTAATGCTCCTCTTCAGATCTTTCTTCATATTTTTATTGCCATCTTTTATTAGTCCAGCACCTGCCTGAAACAGTTTTTGGATGTGCACAACCACTATGCTGTTTTAGTGCCTGTATGTAAACAGACACATCCCTGAATCTTTTATTGTCCAGTATAAACAGGAGAAATGATTACAGCAATCTCATGGGCCTTAAATGACTCTTTACTATTGTTTTAAGACAGACTTAGGGGAAAGATAAAACTAACTTTTAAAATACTAAAGTGCTCAGAAGTGGACCTTGTGGTAAGATTGTTTTTCCGGCATCTGCTGTTTCCAAAGACTGGGATGGACATTTCTTCTGTTTCAGTGAAAACTGCTCACAATAAGATCTGCGTCTTCTTATAATTTTGGTGAACTGACCCTTTAAGTCACATAAAAAAGCTTTTATAGCTCTGTCGACATACATGAACAATGACCATGGCAATGAAGCTGATGGTAACGACAGTCAAGTCACTACAGTGAAGTTACACATTGAACACATGAGGTGGACTACAGCATTAGCAGATCATCTATGGAAGTGTTTGACGACATGCATATCTAAAGGTTTGCCTGCGTGTCAGTCCTAATGATGCTAACAGCATCACGCTATCTGCTACTGTTTATGGCACTCTTACAGATATGGTTATCTGTCGTGTCATCTGTTGCTGCGGTGTGAAACCTGACAGCTGACACTAGTCACTAGTTTCAGTGGCCTCGTATTATCAGGTGATCATGCTGTTGTTTTAACTCACTTAATGCTCACATATAAGAATAACCATCGGTGGTGACAGAGTCCCCTGTTGTTGAGGCCCTGTACTAATGAGTATGGATGGCTGGATTTGTGTGTGTGAGAAGAGTCGGGGCTACAGGCATGGCAGCAGCAGTGTGGCATTGTAATGAGTGCATGTTAAAAATAGAGGGCTACTTTTGCCCTCAGAAATGTGCTCATATAGCCGGAGGAACGCAAGCGTTGGCAGCTGTTTCAACCTGCTCCATAGCTCTATAGACATGTGTGCATACCGTGTATGTTTAAAAGTGTGTGTGTGAGTGTGTGTGTGTGTGTGTGTTTACCTGGCCTCTCGAAACTTTTTGAGCAAACTCGGCCTGTCCTGGTTCCTTCGCCTCCTGAACCATCGCTGCACTTGTCTTTCTGAAAAGCCAGTCTGCTTGCAAAGACTCGCTATTGAAGTCTGGGAAGAGCACAAAGAGGTCAGATTGAAGTATTTGATTTCCTGACAACACACACGGAAACACACTGCTCTGTCTTTCTGAAGTGTGTACAAGTGTGTGTATGAAGATGTACCTGTTTGGGGTTTTTGGTAATGTTACAGTAGTAGGACTCCAGTGTGGGGTTGTGAGGGACCTTGAGCCGCACTGTCTCTTTCACCCCGAGCAGAGAGGCCAGAGGCGTAGCCACCGTCCTGCAATCACAGAGAGGTTGTGGAGATTAAAAGGAGATGAAATGTAGAGAAGGTAAAGACAGTGCAGGGTGTAATCATAACTTCCCAGGACATATAGTCCCAGGAACTCAAAGGTTCCTTCAGTCCATCGCTATCTGCATCTCCACTGCAGTCCAAAGACCTGTGAAGATTAGGCAAATTATTCTGATGACGTATATAAAAAAAAGTTACATGACGGGACGACGGCTGCTGGTGGTCACAGGCGTGAACACACTCTGCAGACTTTAGTTCAGTGTGCCCGCTCGTTCCATCTAAAAGTGAAAGTTGGGTTAAACGAATGAAACACAGGAGGATGAACTACGCATGTCTGTCTCCACAGTAAATCATCTGTTGAGTGTTTGACGGTTATTTCTTTGTCCTTTAAAGCAGCAGTTCTCAGCCAGGGGTCCGCACACACCCACAGGTCCCTGATGGAGCTTCAAAGGGGTCCCCAAAAAATGGGGAATAGTTTATTTTCACTATTTAAGCCACTATAGAAGTGAGCCAATTGTGAGAAAGGGCGCTTTTCATTATGCAAACCCACGCCTCCAAGTATCCTCTCTCCTCCCATGACCTGGAAATCGATTCCTCTCCCCAGTTTTGAAGGATCTTTCAATCCCTTAAACACACCTCAATAATGACATACCCCAAAGGAGATGAGGAGCAAGGAGAGAGGAGGCTTCTAGAGGAGCTTAGAGTGCGGAAATGCAGGAGTATCCTACACTTCTCTTCGTCACGTCTCTCTCTAACATTCTTGCTTGGAAGAAGCTAAGACGCGTGGAAGAGATGCAAGCAAGGGGTCATGTTAGCATATTGAAAAGCACCCTAGCAGTAATAAGAGTGACCCTCTATGTTTATCTCCTCAACTGTAGTTGACAACTTTAGTTCTCTGGTCCTAATCTAACAAAAAAAATCTTTTTAGATGGAGGTCTCTGAAGCGAACTCTTATCAAATGGGGTACCATGACCTAATGTGTATTAATTTAGGAGTCACTGACATGAAAAAAGGTTGAGAACCACTGCTTCAAAAGGTATCCACCACGAAACAATCAGAAAATAGCATCTTTCCCACAGCATCGCAGTGCTGTCTCCTTTTCTCTGCTCGTTTGCCCGTGCTCAATGGTCGATCCCTTTCTCTCTGTCTTTTTTTAAATTAGTTGAGAAGTTGACAGAAAAACCTTACTTTACTTGTTATGTTTGTTTTATTTAAGATTGTTTTTTGGCATTTTTGCCTTTGTTTATTGGGACAGCTGGTGGCGTGAGTGGGTGGGAGGCAGGGGGATGGTGTCCAGCAAAGGGCCACAGTCTGGAATCAAGCTTGCATACGCTGTGGCAAGGACTTGGCCTTTGTACCTGGGACACCCACTCTACCAGGTGAGCCACTGGGCGGCCCACTTTACTTGTAATGTTATCAGACAAAGAGGGTTCTTCATTGTTTTATGAATGAAGCGGTACACAAGCTAATGCAGCAGCGTTGTCTGTGTGTGACCAGTTTGCATCAATCATCCCTGCAAACCCCACCATCAAAGTTCCTGTACTTTCAGAGATGATCAGGGACTTTTTGGGGGAGAAATGTCCCCGACACTAGGGCTGCAGTGGTATGCTGGTTTTAAGGTATACCATTGTATGAAAATGAACACTTATAATACTGTGCACATTTTACTTATCTATGGTTTTGGACAAAAAATGTAACCACAGGGAGAATCTCACCTTTATTTTATTTATATTAATTTTACACATACACATCACTTATAACACATTTTTCAAGTTTTCAACCAAAAAACAAACCCTTCGTTTTCATTACTTTAAGGGTCATTACAACTGATGAAAATAACAACAATAATTGTGTAATATTGTATACTGTGACGATTATCGCACATTAATTTTGACCCTGGTCCCTGCAGTTTAAATGCAATGAGTTCCTCAGAAGTTTCCTAATTCCTAGGGAAAGTTTCTGCAGTTGAAAAGAGGCTACGAAACTCTTAATTTGCAAAAAACTATTGACTCCAATTTGAGGTAAAGGACACTTATAAGTAACAGACATAAAAAGCAATTTAAATCATTCAAGGTTAAGATGATTAAAGTCAGGATAACAAGAGGAGAGTGTTTAATACCAGAGTTACTTTGCCCCATGACGGCCTCACTGCCATGTGTGGTGTGGTAACCCACAGAGCAACAAGCATCATTCATGTTTATGTATGTAAATGGAATAACACTGTCATTGGCACTGCTTGTTTGTCTTGTCTTACTCATCAAGTATCCTGTTTGCCCACATTATTAATTTATGACCATATGACTGGATGGGAGTTAGGAATAAAACCAATACTGAGGAAGAGAGCAGTTTTGCATCAGCAATAAAACACATGTGGACTTTGTAACGATGTGACGATGTGTGATCTCCAAAAGATTAGCTGCTGGAAAGAGGAACACTGTGCTCGTGTGATAAACAATATGAGTCACTTGGAGCTTTACCTCATACATACAGCATTCCCACTCATTTTTACCCATGAATTTTCAAAACTTTTCCCCAACTTTTCCATAATATTTTACCCCATTTTCAGTACTTTCTTTATATAGTATAACTGGAGAGGCCTATGTATATAACAATATAGCCATACATTATTAAACATGCACTTCCCAGGCATTTGCGAATAGTATAACTGCTCGTGCTTGCTAAATATGCCAGCTCATTAGACATTCCTGCCGCCAATATGCTAATAGACCAGACCGGCGCATACGGGTACTTTGCAAGACGATTGTAAAGAGGTATTGTGTGGCTTGTTGACTGTAAACAGCCAAACTGTTAATAGCTGAGCGGTTTGATCTGGGCTGAGATTTAGTTGGAGAGGACAGCCTGATGCTGCTTTACTGTATGAGTCTTCTTCAGGATATGTTAGCTATCCATCAGCAGTAACTGACACCAGCATCATTTCGCTATTTACCACACTGACAGTGAATATTCACGAATTGTATGAGCCTCAAATTTCAGTGTGAAAGCCTTGGTTAACCCGCTACCAGACATCTTTCTGTCATTTTCCTGTGTTTTGGTGTTTTTTTCCCCTAAAACAGGGTGCAGCCTTAGTGATGACGTGATTTCACTCTGGTCTATGTGTATCACGTGATACTAGTGATGTTTCAACAGTCACAAGGGTTTAAATTAGTAATACAAGGAACATGTTTCGCTTAATGTCAGACAGGTTTTGGGGATCTAACAATAGCCAAAACAATGTATATGTTTCAAACTTTTCCCAAAACATTCTGTTAATTTCAAACCATTTCCAGGCCTGGAAAACAGTTTTTCTAATTTGATAACTTTTCCGGGAAATGACACGACCATAGAAACCCTGTATATAGCAGGAAACAGCAGTGGGAGTATTAAATAATTGCTGAGATATAAAGCAAGAGATATAAACTGCATGCTGGAGTTAAATAATGTAATTGTGGGTCAGAGGATGATGAGGATGAGATAACTGATGGGCAGTCTAAAGGAGAGTCAGTCGAGGGAAGAAGATGAGAGTTAGACTGGACAGAAGGACACAAAAAAAGGGTAAATATAGAGAAAGCAAATGTTTGAATTAACGACCAAAGACGGAGATGAGAGGCACAGATATGGAGTGAGACAGCGTGAAAAATGTACTGACCTTTCAAAGATCTGACGGATAATGAGGAAAACGAGGGCGATGGGCAGCGCCACCCACAAGTCATGGGCTTTGGCGTATACTCGTCCATCCCGATCCTCCAGGTCGGCCCAGCCCAGGCCCTCTGGAAACCACAGCCGCTCCTGCCAGAACCACTCGCTCAGCTCCGACAGCATCCTGCAACACAGGACACACAAGAAGTCAGCACCACCTTTATGAGTTTATTAGGTTGTGAAATCAAAGTCTCAAGACCCAAGATACGCATGTTCCAGAAGCATAGTACACACCCTAAAAAAAAAGTGGTTCCACCTAAAATGTGAATGCACAAACAATCTATGGGGGCTTGCTTTAAACACTGCAGCTATACAGGCCTGGCTGTGTGTAGGGGAAGACATCTGTGATTGGGAATGTTTGCGACCATGTAATTAAGAGAATTAGATGATGGCACCAATGTTTCCCTCTCATTGGAGGCCTGCCTGTAGGTTTTTCCTAATGAATATAACAGAGCACAAGCAGCATGCAGGGAGCTCAGCTCAGGAGGCCCACGTGAGGGTGGAGAAATCAGACCAACAACTGAGCTTCGTGCTTTCAACACCAGCACTTTCCTAAACAGTTGAGAGCAGCTGCAACAAGAGCAGTTTTTTTTTTCTTTCAGAGAGTACAGAGATGAATATTTCTGCTGCTACGTTCAGGGAGTGGCGGAGAAAGAGAGTAAAAAGGGGTGGCGGTGAGGGAGAAAGTCGGGTCTCAGAGATGTGAGTCATGATTCATCCATATGTGCAGAGCAGCGGGGGCGCCCCCACATACTCCATCTCTGAAGTCCCCTTGCAGATCTACAGTAACTTCCCTCCCCACCCACTGCAGCTGTAAATGCCAAAGCCCTGTAACCGCTTCACTTCCACTCGCGTCCTCGCCCTGCTGCTCCCTGCCAGTAATCAAGAAGGATTCCCTCTTTGGCGCACAGAGCCAAAGTCATGTGTAATGCTCTCCCTCCCTTGGCTATCTTTAAAATATGCAGCTGAAATTAGACTTGGGTGTAAAGAGCTAATATAGATTTGCCTAAAGAGAAGAAGCAGTGTGGTAACCCAGTTTTGACAAGGACTTCTGAACAAAGTAACAGTGCACCTCATGCATTAGATTCACAAGAATGATAAATAAACAATCATCATTTTAAAAAATGTATATCAAAACTCCCTGTACCAGAAGGCGATTTCTTCACATTCGTTGTTTCTTCAGACCAACAGTCCAAAACTCCAAAGTATTCAGTTTACTACCATGTACGACTAAAACATATTTGCATTTAACACTAACATAGTACCCAGAGTACCTTTTTTGCCTAAAAGGTGATTTAAAGGTCCAGTAAGGAGGATTTAGTGGCATCTAGTGGTGAGCCTGCAGATTACAACCAACCAAAACTTCTCCCGTGTATTGGTTTCAAAACATCTCACCAAAGGACTGCAGTTGAAAATTAGCCAGCTGGGGGGCGCCCATTGGCTCACCTGGTGGAGCGGGCGCCCCATGTTAAGGGCTGCAACACTGCAATCATTTTCATGATCTAATAATCAACACATTATTTATATAAAAAAGTTTGTCCCTCCAGAAAAAGCAAATATTCCCATTCAATTTTGATATAGGATCAGAGTATCTAATTTTTTTCTTAAAAAGTGACTCGAATAATTAATTAATTCGATTTTTTTGTGTGTTTGTTTGTTAATGGACTAAATAATTAATTACCTTTTCATTGTTAGCTTTACAAAAGTTGTTAAATGTGAAATGCTGTTTTAATACAAGCAGACGCACCAGAACTTATTTCAGAAAGTCTGATCAAAGAATAGATCAGGTCAGATTCAGAAATCTGATTGGATAAAAGGTGACTTAAAGGTCCAGTGTCAAGGATTTAGTGGCATCTAGTGGTGAGGTTGCAGAATGCAACTGACTGAAACTTCTCCTGAATATTAGATTCAAAACATCTTGCCAATGGACTGCAGTTGAAAATTAGCCAGCTGGGGGGGCACCCATTGGCTCACCTGGTGTAGCGGGCAGCCCATGTACAAAGGCTTTGTCCTAGCCACCTACAGCCCTTTGCTGCGTGTAGTCCCCCCTCTCTTTCCTCCCTTCACGCTAACAGCTGTCTTATCAACTAAAGGCAAAAAAACCCTCCTCAAAAATAGCTATAAAAAAAGAAAATTAGCCATCTGGTTAACACTGGCACATTTACAGAAATGTTGAATAATGTACATTGTCTTTATATATAAAATAAATGAAATGAAATTAAAATGTCCCAAGCATGTCAGAAAACTACAGTGGCCAAAGTGAAAACGCATAACACAAATGGCCCTATCTAGAGCCAGCATTTGGTTTGTCCCTTCTTGGCTACTGTAGAAACAACATGGTGGACTCTGCGGAAGACGACCCACTATGTATGTAGATTCTAAGTTAAGAAAACACAATGATTTTCATTTTCCGGTGATTATAAACTAATAAAAACATAGTTATGAATATTATACACCATATCTTTCTGTATATACCCCCAAATCCCACATACTGGAATGAAAGTTTAGCTGCAACACTGCAATTTTCATTATCTAATAATCTACATATTATTTCCGTAAAGAAGCGACTGTTCTACAAAATCTCAAAAACAAGAAAAACAAAGAAAATATTCACATTTAATTCTGATATTAAATCAGAATATCTTCGACATTTTTGCTTAAAAAGCGATTCGAACAATTAATCAGTGAGAATTTTTTTTTGTTTGTTTGTTTGTCGATAGACTAATTAATTAATTACCTTTCCATTTTTAGCTTTACAAAAGTTGCTTAACTCCTATATGCTGTCTTAACACAAGCAGATGCACAAGCACTTATTTTAGAAAGTCTGATTTAGAAGACTGCATCAGGTTAGATTCAGAAATCTGACTGGATATTTCACGCTGGCTTTTAAAACTTTTTGAATTGATTATACAGGCACATTTTGGTCCATACCAAAAAAGTACTGAAGTGTGATGTCTGGCTCTTTGCATCAGTGTCCTTTTCTTTGTCTTAGTCCCTAATTTGGTCTTTAAATACGATGTATTCAGATCAGCTCTTGGTGTCTGACACTGACAGACCACCCTTCACTGAGCCAATCCCAAAGACGAAACATATTGCTGCAACTCGTAGCCTCTGACACTGTCCAAGAGACGGTGTCATGCTTGAGCGTGTTGGTTATTTTCCACATCATGTCACATTAGTCATGGCCCCCATTTCCTGTTGCAACAGCACGGCTGGCCGAGCGCTGGGCTCTCCCTTCTCTCTCTCTCTGTCTTTCTCTCCCCGTCCTTCCCAGGTGGTGGTGGACTGGGAAGGGTGACATATTTTTCCCAGTTATTTTGCCAACTCTTCCACTTCAGTAGCACTACATCTCACTTCTCCTGGAGTGTCCTGCCAGATCTTATGAGGTCTGCTGAACAGCTTGTTTGTGTGCATGTCTGGCTCCATTAGAAGCAGTGTAATCTAACCAAAGACAAATAACTAAATGAGCTTCTGAGCGCAAGTGAACATGGTTCAAAGGGTAGACGTGTTGAGGAATGCAGACAGGTAGACCATGTTGATTTCTCTGTCATAAATGAGACTGTAAACTCTTAATAAGTGTAATTAGGCTCAGCATACACATGTGCACCAACACCCAAAAACATACAATCAGGACGAAATACTTGTCACCAAAGAAAGAATAATTCTTTATATTTTGCTTTGCTGCCGTGCGGAGGCGATTTAGGATTCAAGAGGATATTTTTAGTGTTTCTAGTTGAGATCATCTGGTGAATTCAGTGTGTTAAAGCTCTTTTCCCCCCACAGCTTTCCTAACAACACGTTCCATTGGCCCACAGGATCATATGACCAGACTCTGACCATTTCAAAGGTCCAATAAAAATAAAGGATGCCTCTGGCAGGGGAGGGAGAAAGGAAGTTCTCTCACTGTCTCCTCTCTCTTCCCCACTATGAATATACATTACAAGGATGTGGTGATTGTAAACACAGATCCAACTTCAGCCTGGCAGATTACAGCTCCAGATGTTGCTGATATCTCCTCAGCTCTACCTGGATCCCAAGTTTACAAACTCATAATGCAGTTTCTCAGAACACAGATGACATAAAGGGAACAAGCCTCAGAGGAAAACCTAAACAGACCATGTTGGAACCTGGTACAGAGTCCAGGAATATGCTGAGAATGTAAACATACTGCCAACATAGCAAGAGGGCTTTCCCATTCACCCTCCATCAATGAATAACATATAATGGAGTTTTACAGTCACCCAATACTTTGTTTATCTGAATGATAGGAGAGTGAGTCGACAAGAGGAACATAAGTCATGAGACAGTAGCAGTGAGTCACTCATAACGTACCATCTATGTGTGCATAAATACCCATTTACTCATATCCATCCATACTTAAGTTGTTCGCTGACAGATGACTCATTCAAACCAGAACTTTTAAAAGACACTCAGAGACGAGCAGTTTAGACATAGGAGAGGTCAAAGCTGAGTTTTCTGTACCTCAAGTGTGAAGGTTGAGAAGACAGAGACAGAACAGCTCATCGAAGACATGCTGATATCACAAAAGGTCACGAGACAACTGAGTCAGAATGAGGCGGAGTCACTCAGATAAGTCCTAAATTATTGTATGGCCTCGAACATTCCTGTAGCTCATATTCGGTTATAATACAAAACAGCATTGTATGGACAGGGTGTCAAGTTCAATACTTTTTGTACACTCTAGCCCCAAGTAAAAACCTGTTAGTTACTGAACGCTGGCACTGAATGCGTATTCAGATTCTTTGATCAGATACTTTATGAATTTAAAGGGGAACTACACCCATTTTTTAAATTCATACATTATTACTATGATCTTAGACGGTCCAAATATATGAGTAAACATAAACAACTCTTTCCCAAATCCACTAGAGAGCTCAAAATTAAACTTGCAATGTCATCAATTCTGGAGCTGCTCCACAGATGATGAACTGGCAAAGATGTAACAGATGACATTAAAACTTTTACACAGAGATCGCACTGTAGGGCCGCTACAAAGTCCCTTCTTCATGGCTCCTTTGCATTTTCCACATGACCAAACAACAGCGGCATCATTGTGTGTGATTATATACTCCATTCCAGCATCACGCAACCTAAAGAGGCATG